CTGGGTTTTAGTGTTTTGTTTTTGTCTTTCTTATTATCATGATTATTGTTGTTATCATCATTACCATTATTGTCATTATTATTACTGTTGTTGTTGTTTTTTTGTTTTGTTTATTCCTATTTTGGCCAATACGACCTTTTTTATTGCTATTATTATCATTGTTGTTATTATTATCAATATTATCATTATTGTTTTACTAGTATCATTATTATGATAATTATCTTTGTTGTGATTATTATTATAGTTGTTTTTTTTCTAGGTTATTACGATCCTTCCTATTATCATTATTATTATCAACATCATTATTTTTTTTTAATTTGGTCATTATCATAATTATTGATGTTATTACGAACATTGTCATAATCAGTTATTATCTTAATCATTATTATTATTATCACCATCATTATCAGTATTATGAGTCTTATTTGCTCTGTATGGGTATTGCCGTCATTCTTAGACCAACTCTAGTTTTGTTTTATTTTGATTTTCTTTCTTCTTTTTTTTGAGGGGCATCACATTTTTCTTTGTATATTTATATATATATATATATATATATATATATATATATATATATATATATATATATATATATATATTTATTTATTTATTTATATATATATATAAATATATATATAATTTTGATGCCAGTGCGTCTTTACTATTATTATTTCATCATCATTATTATTATCATTATTACTATTATTATTATTATGATTATTATTATTATGATTATTATTATTATTATTATCATTATCATTATTATCATTATCATCATTATTATTATTGTTATTGTTATTACTATTATTATCATTATTATTATTATTATTATTATTATTATTATTACTTCTACTACTACTACTACTACTACTATTGTTATTGTTATTATTACTATTATTATCATTAATATTATTATTATTATTATTATTATTATTATTGTTGTTGTTGTTGTTATCATTATTATAATTACTATTATTATCATTATTATTATCTTTATTACTATTGTTATTATCATTATTATCATTATTATTATTATGATTGTTATTGTTATTATCATTTTCATTATTTTCATTATTATTATTGTTATTGTTATTATTATCATTATTATCATTATCTTATATATTTATTATCTATATTGATATCATTATCATCATTATTGGACATTATTGATTTTCTTCATCCTAGGTGGTTATCCTGTTTTTATCACTTATTTTTATGATTATTATCATTTTTATTATTATTAGTTGCTTTTATATAATTATTTCAGTTATCATCATTATTAGCCTTATAATGATTATTGTTATTATTATCATTTTTTTTTTTATTATTATTATCATTATTATTATTACTGTTATTATTAATAATATTATTATTATTATTACTATTATTATTATCACTATCACTATTATTGTTATATTGATATTATTACTATTGTTACTTTATCGTTATAATTATTGTTGCCATTATTGGTAATATTATTACCATCATTATTATTGTTGTTTCTTATCATTGTTGTTATTGTTATTATTTCTATTATCATCGTATTATTATTATCATTATCAATACTACTATTATTATAATTTTTGTTGTTTTTTGCTATTATTGCTGTGATTTTTACTTTTTATATTAATATTAACATTATTATTATTATTATTATCATTTTTTTTTTTTTTTTTTTTAATTTGCAAGCACATAATCATTGATGGGTAGGCCAGTGAGTAAGGTATTCTTGGATTCGAGCTGACGTCACATGCTTTTTATTTGTGAATGCGCGCGCAGCTGCAGTGAAAACAGTTCGTCGCTTCTCATTAGAATCACTGCATTGAGCACTGTATCAGAGGAGGAAATCTTTTGAATTTTTCTCTTCCTTTGAGACACTGTTGCTACCTTTTCTCTTCTCTTCTTTGCTCTCTTTTAGCAACTTTTTGCGTGTACACAAAAATGGAAGGGACATAGTCTGGATGACTTGGATCCTTCTTCATTGGCTTCCCTGAAAAAAATACTCCTCTTTATTCCGTTCAGATGCCAAAAATAATGCCTCAGACGACAGAATTGGGGATGGGGAGTTTGATAAGAATAATCACATGACATTAAGAATCCAGGGCCATGAAACCAATTTACCCTTGGCCTAAGGTAAGTTTTCATGTGGTTATTGTTAGTTCTCCAAGGCTCAGAACCTTGGTAGTTGGAATACCTTTATAAGTAAATTTTGATTTTTAGCATCAAAAGCTCGATTCTTAGCTGTAATGAAGTGGTTTCCACAAAGGTAAACGTTCCTGCCCTTAGGCCTCCATGGCGTGCCATCTTTGTGTTGGCGTTTGCATGCGTTTATCCATTTTTCCCGAAGCTCTTGGTCATTATTAGGAAAACGGATGAATCCAGGCTTGTTTTCCATTTTATTATGGCTCGTGCAGCCATATGCAGCACAACTTAAAGGCATTTCGAAAAGCAAAACTTGCGGCTAATTCCAAACGAGGAAGAGTACAACAGCTTCAGTGAGGAATGTTTTCACTGCAGTTGTCGTTGCGTAGCAACTATGATCGCATGCGCCGCGCATCTCGAATCCGAGAATAAACTTAAGTATATGAATAAGGTATCCATAATTTGCATTATTTCTATTCCTAGGTTAAATTACTTTTGATTCGGTAACACTGATTATAACCTAATCGTATAAGGTATGTTACTCTTTTTAGGGGAGGGGGGGGATATCATTAACTACCCATATTATAAGCCGTCTTTAGTAGATACAAAGTCCAACGCATTTGGAGTTTGGCTAACGAGGTCATTGCTAGTCATAAATGCTGAGTGGTTGTTGAATGCACTGCCAGGCATAAGGCCAGTTAGGGAAAACTATTGAACACTTCATTCCAAGCAGTAATACTAAGTATTAATAATAACATAAGAATATTAATTATAATAATATTAATAATAACATAAGAGTATGAATACCCAGGGACTCGAACTCACTCACTCTCTCTCTCTCTCTCTCTCTCTCTCTCTCTCTCTCTCTCTCTCTCTCTCTCTCTCTCTCTCTCTCTCTCTCTCTCTATCCTTTGCGCTTTCCCTCCCTCTTACTCCTCTCTCTTTCTTCCTCCCCCCCTCCTTTTCTCTCCTTCTTTTGTACACATCCACCCACCCCTCTTTATTCATGAAAATAAAGACAGGGTATTTTTTTTGTAATTATATGCAGACGAGATCAAGGAACATGAAGTACATAAATCGATCAGCACTTATTTTCTGAGATGCCGTGGTGGTTTTTCATAAAATTGTATCCGTCTACATTCACGTTATGGAGGAGAGAGCTCTTGATAATGCAATTTATCATCCGATTACTGTAATATGTTTTTTTTGTTTTGTTTTGTTTTGTTTTGTAAACTTATTGACTTTATATGAGTACTCTTATTTAGATTGATTCACTTTATAGGATTTCCCTTATAATTCAAAATATTCATTGCCATTAAAAGCCACATTCCATATTCAAACTTTATATTCACACACATTATTGACAACATTAAAGAAAATCAAAGAAAGGAAAGAAATACCAACGACTCTAACAAAAACGAAAATTTCATGGTTTGTTTCTTTGAGTTCTGGATACAGAATGATCTAGAAATATATTGAACGTATTTCCATTGTAATATATAAATACGGCTATGCTCTCTGGTGAAAAAATGTAAGCACAATGGACCCGAAGTGGGCCTCTAGTATGAATTTCAACCTAATAGGGCGGAGTTTAAATGATGACGTAAATTGGCACAACTCTCTCTCAAGCACTGTGAAAAATCCAACAGGCTTGTACTTTCTTTGATCTACTAAAGACGGCAATGTATAAGGTATCCATAATGTTTACTATATTCGTAGGTTATGTCACTTTTGATTCGGTAACACTGATTGTAACCTCATCGTAATAGCATATAGTCTTCTTGTTAGGGGGTATATCACTAAATACTTATGTAGTGAGTAATTTCAGTCACAGTGTTTTAAGAAGGCCGCTTGTCTATATACAAGACATGTGGATGCAATGGTTCATCTACATTTTCTTTATTATTCTCGGGACATTATTTCTGCGGCTAAAGGTACTTAAAATGATTATTACATTTCAATTTTACATCTTCACATACAATTAGAGCACAAATGAATGCAGCGGAAATCCAACATTTTGGAATAATTAGAATATCAAAATATGCATGTCTGACTATGAAACAATGACCGTGGCTGGAATCACTTAGCTCTGCTCCTTTTTAAGTTTGTTAGAGGTTGCTGTTATCGAATGATTTTAGATGTATGTCAGTTACTTTTGATAGCAATTTAGATAGTAATCGTTCTATTCCTTAGAAATAGAGATGCAACGGTTCGTTTATTTGAAAAAGGATAGAACAAGATCATATGTTGTGGTTAGCCGAATATTCAAACGTTTTTTTTTTTTTTTTCTACACAAATATGTCATAATAAAAAAAACTCAATCCGATAGGTGTACGTTTTATGTAGATGATGTAATTATAATACATGACAATACATTCATCAAATAAATGTTATTGCGAAGAAAAGCTAAAATTACATTCACGACCACTTTGTCATACATACCGATGAAGAATTTGTATTTATGTCTGTATTATAACTGTAACAATTTATCGAATAGTATGATTATTTTTCCATAGTATTACTTTAATATTAAACATAGTCGTAGAGTTGTTGTATGCGTGGTAGACCAGATAGGAAATTTAAAACTGGATCGAAAAAAAATACAGGAATGATCTTTAAACTTTGTTGAAACACTACAAAGAACATTAATCGTTTGATTTTAGTGTGGAAATAAATACTACAAAGTAAAAGGTATCGAAGTTACTGTGGAGACTCCGATGTCTGACCACAAATGTAAACAATAGTGGTCATCATTATAGTTATATCCTTATTCGTAATAACATCTACTTTTTTTTCGTTGTACGTACATTTACATTCATTATAAGGACGTAATTAAAATGAAATATTCATCTTTCAGCTGC